GGGGCTGGAGAGATGGCTCAGTGGTTAAGAGCATTGCCTGCTCTTCCAAAGGTCCTGAGTTCAATTCCCAGCAACCACATGGTGGCTCACAACCATCTGTAAAGAGGTCTGGCGCCCTCTTCTGGCCTTCAGGCATACAGACAGAATATTGTATACATAATAAATAAATAAATATTTGAAAAAAAAAAAGTTAGAGACCCTCCAGCGGATGCCCTAGAGAGGGAAATGAAGATCTGGAAGCCGTTCCAATAATCTTCTGTCTCACAGATGGGTACCTTTCAGTGACAACACCTCATTGCTATATCCGTACCCACTGGGGTCTCTTCCACCCACCAGCCTTAAGAAAGAAATGTCTGATATTTTTCTGTACACAGATCTGTCCTAAATAGGAACTAGAGGATAAAATGTGGTTTCTATAAAAGAATAACATTGAATTGTCCTACAATTTGATTTCTAAATAGAAGGGAGGGTATTTTCCACAATATTCAGGTTGTCTGCCTCCATTTGCAGATGCGCCAATAATGATTGTGGATATTGGTCACTTCCAGTCTAACCAGAGAGTGTCCCAGTTTGAATGTTAGTAAAGGCAGATCTTTCTATTGACTTGTTCTCCCTGTTCATGGATTCTGTCACTCACCCATGATAAAGCTATCAGAGGGTGACCCTTAAAAACAAATGTTCTGTCAGAATAGTATCTAATATCTATATATAATCTTTATCTAGCTATTATCTCTCTTTCTGTTTCTTTTTAATTCCTATCCCAAATGCATGACCCAACAGATGATAAGCCTCCTCTGGACAAATCTTCAGGCCATAAGGAAGACAGATGCTTTTATTCCAGCCAGTTGTCATTGAACTCAACAGCAAGCCTTTTGTCCAATATAAGCTAACAGGTTGAGTTTCATAAAGGAAAAATGATTTTGTGTCCACCATTATTATCTCATGATTTAAAGATGTCTGTAGTGAAAATGGGTACATGGATGCTCATCCGTAGAGAGGTGAGAAGGGACCTCTGTCTAAAGATCTCTCAATAGGAACTCCAGCATCATAAACTTGATTGACTTTTGACTTAGGGGAAGTTTCTCAGCATCACCTAAAGAGGTACCAGGTACCTCTTCCGGGTCCAGGACCCTTGGCATTGCCTGCCAAGTTGCAGCTGTACCAGGGAAAGCCCAATCCCTTCTGGAACAGAGATCGTTTCTGCTCTGGGATGCCCCTGGGTATGGAGAAGTCCTTACCAAGAGGCTACCCCACCCCCAGTGCTCAACACCAGGCTACTGTTTGGGGTGCCTTGCCCTAGTCTTCAGTCTCTAGCCCAGGCTTGGAAACGGGCAATGCTGGGTCCACACCTGATCCTTGGTCACCCCTGGGGTGTCTGCTGTGAAACTGTATTACCGATCAGGACTGTCTCACACCATATGACCAAAACAAATGGTTTGAATTTTCTTATATCCATGTTTTTTTTTAGCTCTGCACTCCCGCCCCTCCCTCTGCATCCAGTGCTCAGTAACCCAGGTTTTGTTGGCCAGGGTTGTGGCAACTCCAGGCACCTTTTCTCTAAGGAGCTGACCCTGAGCCCTCTTCCCTGGCTGAGCTACCCAAGTCACCGGCACCCCCACCTCTCTTCTTCCTCTTGTCTCTTCCTTGTTCTTTCCGTTTGTCTGTCTACCTGCCTCTATTATGTCTCCACTCAGATGGCCTTTAGTTCTCCATCTCCCAATAAACCTCTTGCATTAAGTCTGTTTGTGTGTGGTCTGTTCTTTTACTGGCATACCTTTGACAGGGCCCGCTGAGAGGTACCCACATCTTATTTTTTTCCTCCTTTTCATTGGTGCCAAAGACTCATTAGACTACCCTGGTGTTTGGTCTGGCCATGCTGGGATCCTACCTGCTCACTCCACCTGAAACAGATCCAATGTCCTTGTTTGTTTCTATCTGCTCTCCCATTCTGCCATGCTGGGATCCTACCCACCCATTCTACCCACGACAGATCTTTTTGTTTGTTTTTGTCTGATCTCCCACCCTAAGTTGTGTAAATGCCCCACCCATGTGTTTGTTGTAACATGGAAGTCAGAGCCAGAGAGGTCAGCTTCTGTGTGCCCAGCATACACCCGTTCTCTCCTGCCGCGACACTGACCTAACCCTCAGTAGGGCATGAATAGATCACTTGTCTATGAAGTGATTCCAAATTTTAGAGTCCTGTTCTTCAGCTGCTGCTTCCCTCTGCCCTGAGTTACCATCCATGTGGGCAAATGTGTGTTTGTCTGGCTTCTGCTGCCTGCAGCACCTGCTTGGACATCTCCTCTCCTGTGCTCTCTGCTCTCCCAGCAGTCTGGGTGTACCACAGCTTAAGCTCTGAGCTACTGTACTCCATGTGGCTCTGACTGTTTTGACCTGCTGATCCATGTGGACACCTCCTTTCTCTTCTCCTTCCTGGTGTTCTTTTGCCTTGAAGTCAGCCAGACCACAGTGCTCCACTTCGATACCCTCTCTCCTTTGTGGAATATTTGCTTACACTGTGTGAATATATGTTGCTATGGTTGGCTTAATAAAAAAAGCTGATGGGCTAAAAGCTAGCCCGAATAAGGTTGGGAGGGAGCCAAGCAGAGGATTCTGGGAAGAAGGCTGAAGTCAGAGGAGGAGTGAGCAGAGGCAGAGAGAAGCAAGATGGCCGTGTCAACTGAGAAAAGGTACTAAGCCATATGGTAAAGCATGGATAGAAATATGGGTTAGTTTAAATGTAAGTGTTACTAGTAATAAGCCTGAGTTATTGTCCAAGCATTTATAACTAATATTAAACCTTTGTGTGGTTACTCGGGAGCAGCTTGTGGACAGAAGTTTCTGCCAACAAATAGCACCCAACAAGGTGTCAGAATTTCCACATAAGACCTGACAAATCTTAAAAAGGGATTCTAAACACATAAAAACAGAATCAAACAAACACAGCTTCTTGGTAACCACCTTTTCTTAGGTATACTCTGCTAGCAACAAGCAGAAACATGGTTCCTTTAAGAGACAGCTTCCTGACTCAGTGCTAGTGGCAAAAAATTGGCATGACTCTTTTAAGAGGTTGTACTACCAAACACTTGATTGAGGTTTAGGATCAACAGCAGAGCACTACTTCACGGGACACAGACTCCAAAGCTCCCCGGAGTTGTAGCAGTAAGCATGGCTTTCTTCAACCAGTACCTCCATCATAAACCTAGGCTCACAGGGAACCAAGGAGGGCAGAGTCAGCCACCAAAACAGAGGTGGACATCCTAGCCATGCTGCTTAGCAGTTTAAAGGCTCATTTGGTCATGAAAAGATTACAGACACAAAGTAAAGGCTGATTCAAGTGGAAAAAACTCAAATGGGTTACAATGTGTTTAAAAATGTACATAGGCTTGGGAGAAAACAGAGAAAAGGTAGGGATAGTCATAGATTAAAAAATAATTTAAAAATGATAAAGTCCTTAAGAAAGAAATAGAGTAATAAAAATACAATAAAAGCCACATAAAGATGGGAAATGCACAGAGAGTCTGGGTTCTGTATGTTATTGTGTTGTCTTAAGATTTTCTGACTGCTAATGAAAGAATGACAGTTGCTAAAACACACTGGATTATGAAAACTGCTAGATTAAACCAACCCATATATTTAAAAAGTATCTTGACTTCAAATTTTAAGTTAAAAGTTTATGTATTTTCAGAATGAGAGAACCAGACACCAAAAAAAAAAAAACCAAACAAACAAACAAAAAAACAGATGGCCCAGATGATCCAGCATTTCAAAATGCCTCTATTATGGTCTCCTCAAAATCCTGCATCCAAAACAGCTTCAAGGCTGCTGGATGAGATGGTTCAACCTCACAAACTACTCCACTGGTACTTCACTATTATCCCAGATTTCTCAAGATTCCCCAAAGATATCAGAATCCCCAGACAACAGGAAGCAGTTTATAGAAAACAACACCCACATTCACAAAATATGGGTTGAGGATGTTTGTCAACATTTAAGAGGGGTTGGTTACAAGTTATTATTGGTCATCATCAGAAAAAGAACTAGACAAAGGAGTTAAATTCAAATATTTTTTTCTAAGG